GGGATCACATCGTCATGCACGTCTGGGATGACGAGCAGTGGCTGCAGAACTTTCAGATGTGGAAAGCCACATTCATGAGACTGTGTGATGAGCTCGCCCCAGTCCTGCGGCACAAAGAGACGAGAATGAGAGCTGCCCTGTCTCTGGAGAAGCAAGTGGCAATTGTACTCTGGAAGCTGGCTACTTTAGACTGCTACTTATTGGTCGCTAACCAGTTTGGAGTGGGAAAGTCGACCGCTGGACTCATGTTGATGGAAGTGTCCAGGGCCATTAATCACATCCTGCTCCGAAAGACCATGACTCTGGGCAGCGTGCGTGACATTGTGGATGGCTTTACACAAATGGGCTTCCCTAACTGCGGAGGGGCGATAGATGGCACGCATATTCCAAATCTGTCACCAGATCACCAAGCCACCGAGTACATTGACTGGAAGAGGTATTTCTCTATGGTTCTTCAGACACTTGTGGATCACCGTGGGCGTTTCAGGGACATTAACACAGGCTGGTCTGGAAAGGTGCATGACGCACGCATCTTTCGGAACACTGGCCTGTTCAGGAAGCTGCAAGCAGGGACTTTCTTGCCGGACCAGAAGCTCACTGTAGGGGAAATCGAAATGTCCATTGTGATCCTGGGAGAACCTGCCTACAGTAGCATAGCTAGCGGGGTGCAGGGGAAGCAGTCGCTTCCCTGCAGCACATTTTCTAAAAGCGGCGCCTTAGTTAGTAACAGCTTGTTGTGCTCGCTGCAGGCTGCCTGTGGCTGCCTCCCTCCGTCTCTCTTCCCAAGTCCAGGCTGGTGTGGGGAGACGAAGGGGACACAGGGATCCCGCAGCCCTGGGGGGAGCGATCAGCTGCTGCCTGAAGCGCACCCGGGCAGGCCACTTCACCACCATGGGTGGCCTCTACTGGCCCCGGGCTGCGCTGGCCGGGGGGTGCCATTAGCCTCCCCATCCCCCACCCCGGCTGTCAGGAAGTGGCACCGGCGGCCCCGTGCTCTGAGCGGGATCCATGCGCCGGTCTCACACCAGACCCCGCCGCTGCCGGTAGCACGAGGAAGGTTCCTCTCATCCTGCCCCGAGACGTGACACGTTGAGGGGCGCCTGGGCTGCGGCTCTCCCGGCAGCTCTCACCCCACTGGGCGGTAGGGGTCGCTGTGCCACGGTTCACCGTGGCTGCGGGTCAGAGCGATTCCCCGGCGGCTCCTCCTCCTGCCCGGCGGCTTCCCAGGCTCCTGTCCGGGTAAACAGCGAAGGCTGTGGAGGAAGGAGGCGAAGAGCCCGACAACATGGGGAGTCACCTGCAGCTCCTACCCGATAGTGGCCGCTGCCGCCGCCCTGGCCCAGCTCCCTGCGTGGGGGGAGAGCAAGGGACGGGCTGGGCGAGGGGGTGCAGAAGAGGAGCTCAGCTAGAGGGGGGCCCGAGGGGCAAGGGCAGGGCCGGCTCTAGGCACCAGCCAACCAAGCATGTGCTTGGGGCGGCACCTCAGAAGGGGCGGTCAATGTTGGGGTGGCGGGGGGGGCGCTCAAGGGTTTTTTGTTTGTTTGTTTCGGCCGGGCAGCGCGGGGGTGTTTCGGCGGCGTGGCACTGGGGGGGGGCTTCGGCGGCGCTGGGGGGGGGGCAGGGGTTTGGCCAGCCCGGCGCGGCGCTCTGGGGGGGTGGGGGTTTGGGCGGCCTGGCGCGGGGTGGGGTTTTGGGCGGCCCGGCACTCCGGGGGATTTGGGCAGCCCGGCGCGGCCCGGCGTGGCGCTCGGGACAGCGGGGGTTTGGGCGGCCTGAGCCGGCACGGCGCTGGGGTGGGGTTAGGCGGCGCTGGGGGCGGGGATTACAGTGGGGCGGCGCTTTTCTTTTTTTGCCTGGGGCAGCAAAAAAGTTAGACCGTCCCTGGGCAAGGGGCTGCTGCGGGGATGTCAGCCTAGGTGGGAGCCTCTGGCTCTTTGCCGCCCGGCCTGAGCCAGGCAAGAGGGGGATGAGTTCGGGGCGGCCAGCACTCAGCCTGGAGCGCAGAGACTCCTGCAAACTGCCCCGCTGCCCAAGGGGCTCAGACCCGCCAGGAGCTGCATTCCCGGTCAGCCGTGAGGGGTCAGAACCCCTGAGCAGAGCTGGGCCCTGTGACCCCGATCTAGGCTGTAACCCCCTCTGTTCCCTGCACACACACGGGGTTGGAACTGGGGGGGCTGCCGCACCTCAGGCTTGAAGGGGGGGCGCAGCAGGGCCACAGCGTGGCTGGAGGAGCCATGGGGGGGGCGCGGCGGGGCCAGAGGAGCCATGGGGGGGGGCAGAGCGGCCGGAGGAGGAGCCATGGGGGGGCGTGGCCAGAGGAGGAGCCAAAGGGGGGCGCCTTTTTAATGTTTGCTCCCCCTGTTCTTAGAACCTGGCTATGCCACTGCCTGCCTACCCCTTAATGCCGTGGCTTATACATGGGGCAACTTGACAGCAGCAAGGAGAGGTTCAACAACAGGCTGAGCAGGTGCAGAATGACCGTTGAGTGTGCTTTTGCCGTTTAAAGGTCCGCTGGCACTGCTTATATGGGAGGCTGGCCCTGACCGATGACAATATTCCTATGCTTATAACTGTGTGCTGTATGGTCCACAACAGGGCCGTTCGTAGCTATTCTGGGGCCCTACGCAGCCCCCCCATGGGGGGTCTCCGGGGGGGGCAGGGCTGGCTTGGGGGGTAGGGGGGAACCACCCCCCAGCACTCACCGGCGGCGTGGCTGGGGCCAGCCTGCTGCACTTCCCGCTGCCGATGAGTGCAGGCCTGGCCTGCTTCAGTCCTCAGGGGAGTGGAGGCGGAGCAGGGGTGGGAAGAGATGGGGCTGGGGGTGGGGAAGGGGCGGGGGGGGGAAGAGACAGGGAGGGGCGGACCAGGGGCTTTGGGGGGAGGGCTGGAGTGGGGGCGTATGGGTAAGGACGGCCCTGCTCCACAATATTTGTGAAGAAAAGGGTGAAAGCTGCACCGCAGAGGCTCAGCGCCTGGAGGCTGCATTTGAACATGCTCCAAGCGGGGGATCGCCTGATGCGTGAAGCAGGCATAGTTACCTGGAAAGATGCGCTGAGACCACTGCATGCGTCACCGAGCAAACAGGAAGGAGACTTTCAAAATTCCCAAGGAATTTAAGGGGTGGGGCTCATGGTTCGTCACCTGAGGGCAGGGCAGTAGAGTTCAAACCGTGACCAGAGAGGAGAGAACAGGCACTGTGGGACACCTCCCGGAGGCCAGTTGCAGCACTGTAATCGACCTTGGTGTCTACACTGGCACCGCAGCACTGTAGCCCCGGCACAGGAAGCTGTATGACTCTGGTTGGTGTGGTTTTTTTACAGCGCTGCAACTGCGCAGAAACTGCGCACTAAGTGGCTTGGCAGTGTGTACTGTACACCTTGGGAGTTACCACGCAGAAAGCTGCTTTACTGCACAGAAACTTGCCAGTGTAGAGAAGGCCAAGGTGATCTCATTTGGGATAATAATTCCTACATTTTCCTACCGTTCCTAAAAAAGATTCTGGTTTCTTTAAGTCTGCTTCAAAATATGAAAATATTTTTCTCATGGAAGGTTCAACGTGATTTATTTTAAAGTTGGTTGAGGACATTGTCTGATTTATAGAGTGCAGTCAGGTCACTTAAGCCTGAAGCATACAATTCTCCCCTCATGAAGAGCTGCTCCTTTTTTGCTTAATGAATGAAACATTTAATGTACGCTATTGTCATTCAATGCCTCATCATGAACACTTTTAGCAACGTAACTCCAAATGAAGCAAGGAAATAGGTTTGACCCTCCACTCTGCATTCCAGAAACCTTTGCTAACACATTTTCATATAAATCTGGCAGTGTGTCAGTTCTTGTCATGACACCTAAACATAAGGAGTTGAAAGAAAAAATAATTCCCAGATATTGGGAAGTTAGTAGATTATGACATCTCCACCTGATGCATCTAAGGCTGGGTCTACACTACCCGCCTGAGTCGGGACGCGACAATCGATCCCCGAATCGACGCTCTTACTCCACCAGCGGAGGTGGGAGTAAGCGCCGTCGACGGGAAGCCGCAGAGGTTGATTTTGCCACCGTCCCTACAGCGGGGTAAGTCGGCTGCGATACGTCGAATTCAGCTACGCGAATTTTGCGTATCTTAAATCGACACCCCCCCCCCCGTAGTGTAGATGTAGCCTGAATGACTAGGAGATGTACTACTACCTTGACAGATGAATGGCCTTAATAATAAATGGTTAATGGTAACCTTTTGGGTAACAAAGTATGTGTTCACAAAACCCTGCATTTATGCATTAAAAGCTCTGTCAGTCTCTAATAGAAGGGGGGGGGAAAAAGATATGTCACTAAAAAAAGAGGGGGGGTAAATGATTCTCTGGCCAACATTCCCCCCCATGTAATAAATGTTGGACTGATTTTAATAGCTGTTACATCTGCCTACACAATAACTGAACTCATTTAACTACTATACCTTGTTATGCTGAGCAACTATGCTCTAAAACCAAAAAATTTTCTGCTCTATAAAAAGCAGGAATTCAGTGAGGACACTGCCTGTGTATGCTAGCTCTGTCTATTTTCAACCAAGTTTCCACACCTTCTTTCTTGAGGAATAACATTTCTGTTCTACTTCTGGCCACAATTAGGAGATACACAATTCTGGCCATAATTATGCCATACAAGAACTGACTCGAAGGTAGCAGCTTTAAAAAAAAAAATGCAGTGGATCCTTAAAGTTAGCTTTCAAACAAAAAAACAACAATTGTAAAGAAAACGATCAAAATGCTTTCCATAATTTAATTTTTTTTTCTATTCACTCTTAATATTAGCCCTTCAGTTGCTTGAAACCGAAATCTATTTACATTTCAATTGCATATTCGTTTGTTAGGAGTACTCAGGAGTCTTAAGCTGTGAACGCTGTTGGCTTTTATTATGAAATGGTTAGGCGTGCTCATTTGCAATTGCAGGAGAACTGGGCTGCTGCCACTGACTTTATTATTTTTTTTTATATATTTTTTTTAGAATAAAACATTGGAACTTCAGGAGATAAGAAAAATATGCAGAAGAGATCAGATAGGCCAGAACTAAACAGGCAGCACATTGGTTCTGAATGTCTGTTTGCAGACCCTACCACCTACAGTTGGTGAGTTTCGTTTTAAACCATGCACTCTTTTTAGGCCAAATCCTGCCAGATGCTGAGCACCCTCAACTTTCACTAAAGTCAATAAGGGGTGAGGGTTTAACATCTTACAAAAGGCAGAAAGCGCTTTGCATGATCGGGCACTTACTTTTACATACAGCATTTCAAGGACTCTGAATTGAGACCTACTGATTATTAAGGATGCCAATTCCTGAAAGTTTCATCACATGACATAATCTTTACATTAAATATTAATCTTTAATTCCTGGAGACCCCAGGACAATCCTGGAGGGTTGGAAATCCTACAGATTACATGGCCTCTTTTGGCTTGCAGCTTTTCTAATCTATTCATTCTCAGCATATCCAGCATTCCCTCAGGCTCTGTTATCCCTGTAATGTTGCTAGTCAGGAGACTGTGTGCTTAACCCTGACTTCTATTTCTTGCATTTTCTTCCATCCCTGACCTCACATTACACTTCCCCTTTGATTCTGATACCAGGTGCACCTAAAGTTAAATAAGAATATGCAACACACATCTCCTTCAATGCATAACATTACGCCTATGGTCTCCTACATACTCTAAACACTCAAGAACAAACTCATTAAAATAGATTTTCTATATGATAAAATGTATTATGTCGTTATGGTAACAAGAGTTCTAAATATAGGGCAAAGAATAAGAGACACCACTTAAAGATGTGCATCAAATTATGACAACTGAAATTTTAAAAGTAAATCAATTATGGATTTTTTAATCTTTCCTTTGAATAGCACTTTGTAAAATCTTATTTGAAACTCATTTTTGTAATTTCCGTCACCATCATATATCCACACTCCATAACAAGTCAGACATTTGACGTGCAGTGACTGTCAGAATATTTTCAGGCATATCTTCAGAATTTTAATCTCCTGACCAGTTCAAACTGGTACCCAGATACCATGGTGATGGTTGTCATATGAGAGAACCTAGATAAATAGAGAAACTACAACGACACAAATGCTTGATTAGGATTTTCACCTTTTGGTTGCACTGTGCACCTCTAAATAAAATCAATTAAAGAAAATTCTAAATGAAGATCAATGGTCATCAGGAAGAGAGAATTTGCCAGTAGAAGCAGCTGGAGCTCCATAATGGGGATCATTTAAAGTCTGGCTGGACAAAGAACTAAAATTATGCTGTAGGGTATTGCCAGTAGTAGTAGTTGTATTATGGTAGTAGCTAGTAACCCCCATCAAGGATCAGGACCCCATTGTACTAGCTCCTGTACAGACAAATAGTAACTCCCCCAAAAAACAACAACAACAAGAAACAACAACCCAGCATCTTATGATGGTAATGGGCATGAGGACTTAACAGGTCTTTTCCATCAAATTTTTAGATTCTGTGTGCTATGGCTGTCCAGAAATGACTGCCTTACCTATTGTGTGAAGAGAGACACACTAGCTATTTTACTTAATTGTATTTTTTTCTTCTCTCTCTCTCTCTTTTGCTAGTTCTCTTCTAGAAAAAGAATGTGCCTGAAATGGTGTTTTGTTTTTGTTTTTAAAAAAGAAGAAAGTTGTTGTGGAGGTTGAGGACACAGAATTTAGCGACAGTATCCTGCAAATCTTAGCGTTGTGCTGAATCACAAATACTGAGTTACAACTAATCAGCTGTACTGCTTACCACTAGGTGCTGCTTTTGAATTTAAGTCAGATGCATGAAATACTGTTAACTCAAAACATACTTAAAACAACTTTAAAAAAAAACTCTTGTCAAAATCCCAGTTGCAGCTGCTGTCCTATCATTCTTCATAATTAAACTGCCAGGGATGTGAAGACTTACACATGAATGTGCTGGCTAGGCAAGACAAATCAATTCCCTTCAGCTGTACTGATCTGACCTAGCAGTAATGATCACTGAAGATGATAGGCTGCAGCAAGGATATCATTCAGTGGAGCAACAAATTAGCAAAACCTTGAGAAAACTGTTTGTTCCCACTCTTATCTAACTAGATTATGATGTGAAGTGATCCTGCTAGGAAACTGCACAGCTAACACTCTCATCACTCCAATTGGTGAGAATTATAGCACTGCTTTAGGGCTTGGTCCTGCAAGGTGCTCATCATTTTGTCCCTGATCCAGCAAAGCACTTAAATATCTGCTTAACTTTGAACACTTGATAGTCCCATTGACTTGAATAGGACTATGCACATGCATGAAGTTAAGCACATACTTAAATGCATTGCTGGACACAGCAATCAGCACCTTGCAGAATCAAGCTGCTAATAATCTTGCTAGGGAATGAGAACAAGCAAGTGATGTTCTTGAATGGTCTAATGAGGACTATTTAGCAATAACATCCAAGTGGAGACTAACACCATTAATATTTGTAAGAGTATTTGTATTACAATAACACTGAGCCCCAAAGAGATCAGGACCCCATTGTGGTAGGTGCTGTATGTCCATATAACAAGAGTTTATAGTCAGCACAAAGGATGGGAGAGGGGAAGTATTATCTGTAATTTACAGATGGGCAGATGAGGCCCAGAGATTAAGTAACTTGCCCAGGGTCACATGGGCAGCCTATGCCAGAAATGGAACACATGAGATCTCACAAGTCCCAATCTACGTGATAATTCTCTTCTTGAAGAGGCCAAACATTATTACAGGTATGAGGGACATATTTGAGGGTTCATCTCTAAGGAGTGGGGGCAGCCATTAATTTCAATTTTAAGTTTGTTTTTGTTAAAATCAGCTTCCAGACAGAAGGCTGTGTCACCAAGGCTGTTGGATTGCAGAATCTTTATATAACCCAGCACAATAGAGTTTGTATAACAACCCCTATGCTTCTCTGTCTCCCCACACTGCATTAGAACTCAGGGTCACAGCCACTCTTGCTCACCCAATGGCTTTCCAAGAAAAGTTCCCTTTTGTGCTACTTCTAAAAGTGCCCTTTATTTCAGTGTTCCTAGTAGCTTGAAAATGTCAGTTTTAATGAATTAAAGGTGGGAGGAGGGGCAGTATTAATGAGCAGCACACATATGTCTTTATAAATTGGACTCTCTCTCTGTACAGGCAGGTCATGGTAATAAAGTGATGGTGAGATTCATTTTTCTATTCATTGCCTGTTTCCACATGAAGGTGTTGTTCTTGCATTTTATTTTCTTCGATGTCAAAGTGACCGAGGAGGAACACTGTTAAGTTTGAGAAGCTCTCCTTCCTTCTATTCTACAGCTATCAGTCTCTCTCCACAGGGCCGCCCAGAGGATTCAGGGGGCCTGGGGCAAAGCAATTTCAGGGGCCCCTTCTATAAAAAGAAGTTGCAATACTATAGAATACTATATTCCCATGGGGGCCCCTATGGGGCCTGGGGCAAATTGCCCCACTTGCCCCCCCACACCCCCCTCTGGGCGGCCCTGTCTCTCCACACCTTTCCCCCCCCCTACTCTCCCCTTTCAGTGGGAATTTACCACTCTCCTCTTTCTCTTGTCCCCAATCCTGAGTCACTAAGTTGGACTACCTGGTACCACAGGACTGGGAGAAGAGAGTGTACAACAAGGAGTGGGAGGGGAAAACAGCCTCATAGCAGTGGTGATATCCAGTACTTTAGTCAAAAGCCAGAAAGTTGTACAAGTTAGATATTTAGAATACCCTGACAACTTAGTGCTCCTATTTTTGGTTACCCACTGAACTTGATTATTATCACTCTAAGAATTTTGTTTCCTCAACTTTTGCACCTGATTTTTTGTGTCCAAGGGAGAAAGCTATTAGAAAGTAGTCAGAATTGAAACTGTTTCCAGACTGTGCCCTCGGTTACAATAAAGAATCCAAATTCTGTTGCGTTATCTTACATACAATTTGATGTTGAGAGTGGAGATTACAGATGGATTGGTTCACAGTCTGTGTGAACTTCTCCTCCTCTCCCCATTTTCATCCCATTTAGTTTGGTGTCCCAATGAAACTTCCAGTAGACACCATTATAATCCTTTTGCTGGGGTTTGTTGGTTTCTAGTGGTCTTGATTGGTTTAATTTGGGAACCAGTAGATCAAATTCATTGCTCAGGTCCAAGACCTAGCTGGCCACCTGGAACCAGCAGGAATCAGTTGGAACTTTTCAATTAGAACTTCCACTAACAAGTTTCACTCTGAATTTCTGTCCTGAGTAAAACTTGCATCTCAAAGTAAAACTCACCTAAAACCATTCCATTTTGCCTGGTTTCAGACACATGTGAAACTGTTTACTTAAGCATGGTTTCCACTCAAACTGGAAAAACAGATAGTATCCTCTCATAATATGGTGATAACACTCTTTCCATTCCACTAGTATTTCTGGAGGATGTTAAACAGAAGCTACTAAAGTTAGCCATTTTTAAATCAGCAGGTCCAGATAACTTGCATCCAAGTGTTCTAAAAGAGCTGGCTGAGGAGCTCACTGGACCATTAATGTTGATTTTTAATAACTCTTGGAGCACTGGGGACGTTTCAGAAGACTGGAAGAAAGCGAATGTTGTTCCAGTTTTTAAAAAGGTTAAACAGGATGACACTGCAAAGACATAATGATCTAAAGGAACAAATTTAGCCATTGCATTGCGATGTTTGCATTTTGATTGTGAATCATCATGCCACATCACCATGATACAACCATCAGAATGACATGTTATTCCTCCCACTTTGTTGGTCTTTTCTAGAAAGACTGTAAGCTCCTTGGGGCAGGGACTATGTGTTTGGCCAGTCCCGACCCTAACAAAAAGGCATGTTGTTCCTTGTTAGGACCTCTGTGCACTGGTGTAATACAATAATAATGATAACTTTACATAAGGCAGGGATGCTGGAACAGGGGAGGACATGGCCTCCCACTCTTTACCAGCTCTAAGAGCAAGTGATGGGGTCAGGGGGAAAGAGGGTAGAGAGGAGCAAGCGGGGGGTGAGGTCTTGGGGGTGGGGGGGAAGAGGCGAGCCGTAGGGAGGCGAGGG